ACACACATAGGGTTCCAAATCAGTGTGAGATCTAGACATATGAGGACTATCACAATATTTCCAGTTTACTAGCATAGTGTTACATATGAATTCACATCTTTGACAATTTTGGTTACTGAATCCCTTCCCATATTGTAAACAAATACTCCCCAGTGTGAGTTCTTTCATATCTTTTATAACATTTGTATGTAGTGAATACCTCCCCACATTGCTTGCACAATAAGATTTCTCCCCAGCGTGAACTCTTTCATGTACTGGACAACAAGGTTGTGTAGCAAATCCTTTCCTACCTTGCTTATATATATAGGGTTTCTGCTTAGTGAGAATTTCCATGTATGTGACAGGTACTCTGTTGGTTTAATGTTTTCCCACATTATTTACATGCACAGGGTTTCTCCCCAGCAGGAATTCTTGCATGCATTTTAACGTTGCTCTATTAGCTGAGTGCTTTCTGACATTGTTTATATGCATAGGGATGACCCTGAGTGTGACTTCTTTCATGTATATAACATATCTGTCTAGTGAATGTTTTTGCACATTTCTCACAACCCTAAGGGTTTCTCACCACTGTGATTTCTTTCAAGTATCTTAAAGTTTTTTCTGTATTGTGAATGCTTTTCTACATTGTTTATATGTATTTCTCTGTGGTGTGAATCCTTTCATGTTTTTTAAAGTTACTCTGATGGCTGAATGTTTTCCCACATTGTTTACATGCATAGGGTTTCTCCCCAGTGTGAATTCTTTCATGTATTTTATAATACATCTGTCTAGTGAACGCTTTTCCACATTTCTCACATACATATGGTTTCTCACCAGTGTGACTTCTTTCATGTATTTTACAATAACTCAATGTAGTGAATGCTTTCCCACATTGCTTACATATGTAGGCTTTTTCACCTGTGTGGGTTTGTTTATGCCTATGAAATGCAGACATAACAGGAAATCCTTTTCCACATTGCTTACATATATAGGGTTTCTCCCTAATGTGACTTCTTTCATGTATTTTACAATAACACAGTGTAGTGAATGCTTTTCCGCATTTCTCACATACATATATTTTCTTGTCAGTGTGACTTTTTTCATGAATTTTACAATAACTCAGTGTAGTGAATGCTTTCCCACATTGTTTACATGCATAGGGCTTCTCCCCAGTGTGTCTTCTTTCATGTAATTTATAACACATCTGTCTAGTGAATGCTTTTCCACATTTCTCACATACATATGGTTTCTCACCAGTGTGACTTCTTGCATGTATTTTACAATAACTCCGTGTAGTGAATGCTTTTCCACATTGCTTACATGTATAGGCTTTCTCACCTGTGTGGGTTCGTTTATGTCTATGAAATGCAGAATTATGAGCAAATCCTTTTCCACATTGCTTACATATATAGGGCTTCTCCCCAGTGTGAATTCTTTCATGTATTCTATAATACACCTGTCTAGTGAATGCTTTTCCACATTTCTCACATACATATGGTTTCTCACCAGTGTGACTTCTTTCATGAATTTTACAATATCTCAGTGTAGTGAATGCTTTCCCACATTGATTACATGCATAGGGTTTCTCCCCAGTGTGACTTCTTTTATGTAATTTATAACACTTCTGTCTAGTGAATGCTTTTCCACATTTCTCACATACATAGGGTTTCTCGCTGGTGTGATTTATCACATGTATTTTCTCACCAGTGTGACTTCTTTCATGGATTTTACAGTTACTCAGGGTAGTGAATGCTTTCCCACATTGATTACATGCGCAAGATTTCTTACCTGTGTGATTTTGTTTATGTCTATGAAGTTCAGACTTATTAGCAAATTCTTTTCCACATTGCTTGCACACATACAGTTTCTTCCCATTGTGAATACTTTCATGGACTTTAATACCACTGGGAGTGCTGGAGCCTTTCACACTTTTCTTATATACAAAGGTCTCCAACCCAGGATGGGTTCTTTCTCTATGCTCATAGTAGGTTTTCTCACAGTACTCATATTGATAGAGTTTTTCTCCATGCTTTGTTCTTGCATGCTTCTGAAAGGATTGGAAATCTCGGCAGGTTTTTCCACGTTCATTACTTAGCTTCTCATCAAATCCCACATTCTCACATGGCTTCAGTCCACTGTGAGGTAAAATGGACACGTGTAATGAATCCCCCATCCAGGGCTTTTTACAAGCAAGGCTTTCAGCTGGCTTTAGAGCAGCCTGTTGCATCTGCACATTCTCCTCCAAAGTCCAAAGGAATATTTTTCTGTGTTGATTCTAAGTTTTATTTTGATAGCACTTTACTACCTCTTCACTTCTTATAGAAAAAATAAGATCAAAACATATCAATCATAATACAAAGGCCTTCATATCAATAATTTACCAGAAGAAGTTCTCGACTGAGGCTGGCTAAGAAGTTTTGAGCAAGAGTGGACTGAGACCCTGGAGGTTTCCTCCATAATACCCATTTACCAAAGAATCTTATTCATTTGGAAATTGTATATTCAAATATGTTTAAATACAGAAGGTCTAATTACATTTATAGATATGTCTATCACATAGTGATAGATACGTCATTGATAGATATCTCTATCACAGACTGATCATTTCTGGCACCTTTTTTGTAATTTATAACACATTGATAGATATGTCTTTGATACTGATAGATACATCTATTGATAGATATGTCTATCACATACTGATCATTTCTGGCACCTTTTTTCACACCTCTTTCCCCTTTTCTCCTCACTGTGGTCCATCTTTTCTATTTCCAGAAAATTGCCCTTGCTGTTCTCTATCACTTTGCCTTAATTTTACTCCCCAATTTACATTTTTGTATCTCATATAAAATATCATGACAATTCCCATTCTGTGTCTAACTTATGTCTCTTAATGTTATGAGATCTGCTTATTTTTTTATTTGCCAAAAGATATATTCTTCTTTACCGTTGAATGTATAGCATATTTTCTTTTTCATTGCTGAGAAATAAACAGGAGACTTTTCAATAAGTTACTGTTCTAGATTATTTTTATTTTGAGAGAGATTCTTATTGGTCATTCATTTGGTAAATGTGAATTTCACATTGTCATCCTGCTGGCACAGCTTATCAGAGTGATGGGATTATAAGAAGGCACCACCACATAGAGCTTATCCCACAACCTCTTTATCTATGTGTAACATGATGGGTATCTAGGCTGTTACAAGAGGTTAGGTTTTGTGATATTCAGAGATTAGCTATGGTGAATAACTTTGCACACACTGCTCTGAGCATGCATATGCATATATTAATAAGATAGGATAATTTTAAATCCTTTCAAAACATACTTAGGGAAACTTACCTGGACCTAATGCAAGTTTCTATTTTTAACATTTTGAAACATTTGTATATTAATTATTAAAATGGTTTTATTTTATATTCCTATCAACCATGTATGATGATGCCTTTAAGAATTTTAAATTCTAATTCTCTGGAGGGTATTTCTAAAATATCTAGTGTTGTAGTACTAGGATTCATGTGCATTTCGAATATTGCTGCCAGGCTAGCAATTTTTGGATAATGTATGTCTCATATTCATATTTTTTATATATATATATATATATATATATATATATATACACACATACATAAACAGAAATCTTGAAGATGAGTTCCTGTTAAAGTACAAAATTTATTCTTTTCATATATGCCTATGCACAATTCATAAATGCAATTTCACACATTTTCATGATGGTGGTCACAAAAAGATTTTATATACTGATGTATGGGATGGTGGCTCTTGTTGCATAATATCACTACTAACTTAGATTCGTGGACTGGAGTATTTTTGTATTCAAATGGCAGATTATACAAAATCAACCTGTGTGCATATCTGGAGAACTTTTGTGAGATTAAATGAATTTGTTTGTTTGTTTGTTTTGGTGTTTTTTGGGTTTTTTTCAGTACCGGGAATCGAACTCATGACCTCATGCTTGCCAGGCAGGCACTGTGCCACTGAGCTAAATCCCCAGCCCTGAAATTAAATGAATTTGACCATGGCCTCATTTGTAGTTTCTTTGCCTGTAGTATTTCTGCTCACATATTGACTCTTAAGAGAATATTAGTATTACTTATAAATACTTTACCTTAGATTTCTTGAGCAATTTTTTAATTCTTCAATTTGCTGGTTGTTCCAAGTCCTTCCTAAATTGTTAACAACAGAGATATAAAAAGTCACTGTATCATTATATAGAAATTAGCAGATAGCAACTAGATTCATGGTATAATAGCAACAGGCCTGAGGTATTCTTCAAAATGTTTTCAAATTTTATTTAATGAAGCTGTACCAATCAGCAAGAACCAATGCTCTCCCACTATACACATGAGAAAATAGCATCCTTACCTATAGCAGTCATATTCATAAATGTTTCCCACATTACATCTCTGTAGAGCTTCTTTTGAGATGGATTCAGCACAGCCCACTCCTCCTTGGTGAAGTTCACAAGTACATCCTTCAAGGTCACTGCCTCCTAAATAATCACACATACATATTCTGAAGGAAGGCTGAGATTCACATCCTGAGATATCTGAAATCCTCTTGTAAGAGTGGAATTGAAGCAAATTCTTTCAGATATTAACTTCATGCCTTGGGTACCAAGTATATGCACATATTTTCACACAGCAATTCTGATGTACACAGATGAGGATTTCTTAAATAGGAAGCTATTCAAAAAGACATACTCCTCTAGCATTCATTCAATAAAATCTGCTGAAAGTATATGTCTTAGTTACTATCTTTTTGTTGCTCAGACAAAATACCCAATGCCCAAAATTATGGAAAGAAAGGTTTATTTAGCTTACAGTTTGTGGAGGTTTCAGTCTATAGTCAACTAGCTCCAAGTCAGTATGGCAGGGCAGAGCAGCAACACTTTAAAGAGGCACAAGACAGCGAAAGCAGAAAGAAAAAGGGAGAAAAGCGAGCCTTTTTTTCCCCTTATATTATATGCCAGCTATCTGCCCATGCCCACACCATCTCTGTGCCCTCTGCTTACATAGGCTCAGGATGAATACAAAGGACCTTGGCTCCCTGTTAAGTGACACAGTTAACCTTTTAAACTTTTCAAGTTGACACAATGAAGAACATCTTAGAGCAGGAAGGGCATGTCCCTTTCACCCCAGGATGTAAAATTGCTGAGTCACTCAGCCAAGCCTCTTGACTCCTCAAGTTGACACAGTACATCAGCCATGACAATCCACCCCTTGTTAACTTGGCAACCAGACACACTTTTTAAACCAGTTTTTACATACAAAGACATTTTTTTTTATCATTTTACAACTTGAACATTATAACACAGGTTTAACAATCTTTAAGACCCAGTATTAAGTCTATCAACATTATATTATATTAAAATCATAATATTTTGTCCCCCAAAGACTCATGTACACTTTTTAATGTGAAAGGCATTTAGGCCATCTGTAAGAGTTGTCAAAGTCCTAACAGTTTTAGCATTGTTGAAAAATCCAACTCCCAAATCTCTTCAGGGATGTAAGGCAAACTTTTTAGTTGTAAGCCCTTGTATAAAAGAAAAGTTAAACACTTTTAACATTTAATGGCACAAAAGAAACATTTTTATTTTAAAAGCTACAAACAGTAGAATACAAAGGAATGGGACCAAAGCAAGTGCAAAATGCAGCAAGGCAAACAATAAGTCCTGTAGTTTTACATGTAGCATCTGAAGGAACTTGTGGTACATAGAGTTTTAAAGGGCTTGTGTGATTTTACCCCTATGGCACTTTTGGTGGTTATAGCTTGCATGGCTTTTTGGGGGAGCCCGCTCTGTACAATCTTTGTAGCTTTTTTTTGAAATGATCCATGTTTCTGGCTTTTTAAAAACTTTTGGGGTCTCTACTGTACTTTAGACTTTTTACTCATAGCTTCACACATTATCTTCTCAGGGACACACTGCCTGGCCTCCCAGGCATTTTGAAATCAAGGTGGAAGCCTTTTTAACCTCAGAACTCGAAGCTCCAGTGGTGCAATCAGTTGGCACGCAGTACTTATATAACCTCAGAACTCTTGTGTTTTGCATGTACCTAAAACCAGCACCACATGGATGATGTCAAGGTCTGCTGTCAGCTGGAGCAGTAGCCAGGCTTTTTTTTTTTCTCTTAGCTGTAGGGGTCGAGTGCCTGGATTGATAAACACTATGAATCGAATTTTGAGGAACAAATTTTCTATGTTGTCACCACTGTGGAACATAGTGCTCTGTGGCTTTTTTCCCAGAGCAAAGTTTTTATCTTTGCAATTTCGTGGCTGCAAAGGGTGAGGACTTCCTGCTTTTTTTAATGTCCTCAGGCCATCTTTTTTATTTTCTTATTCCTCCACAGCAATCAAGTGTGTTTTATCTTTATAGTCTATAGCTTTACTAGAGCTTTTTTTTTCTGGCCAAACTCATAATATATGGGCTCTTTGTTCTTGATTCACAACATAAATCTGGCTAAAAGCCCCAACAATACTGGTGCCACAGCCTCAACATTCAACTGTCTTGAATTTTTTTCTCTCAGGGTAATCAGTCCACTGCCCTTAATCTTAGTCTCCGGCAAAGTCTCTGGACTAGAGCAAAATGCAGAAAAACTTTATGCCAAGCCATAACATCCATCATTGGGATTCCAGCACCCAATGCAGTCCATCTTTTCAGCAGAAAACTCCTGAGCCTGGTCTTTACTGGCAGGATTTCTATCAGCCTTCTGGTCTTTTGAGCTCTGACCAGAATCTCCCATACAGATCAGCCAAAGAGGGTACTAGCACTTTTCTTTTAGGTGAAATCTCCATACCTTTTAAAACTCTTCTCACAAGTCATTCCCAGAGGCTCCTGAACCACATGTTCAGGTATAGTCACAGCAATAACCACAGCCCTGGTACCAAATTTTGCCTTGGTTACTTTTTTTTCATTGCTGAGACAAAACACCCAATGCCCAAAGTTAAGGAAAGAAAGGTTCATTTAGCTTACAGTTTGTGGAGGTTTCAGTCTATAATCAGCTGGCCTCAAAGCAGGATAGCATGGCATAGGGTCAACACTTTAACGCAGCACAAGACAGTAAAAGCAGCAAGAGCAAAAAGGGGGGAAAGCAAGCCTCTTTTCCTCTCTTATACTGTATTCCAGCTAATTGCCCATGCCCACACCATCTCCATGCCCTCCTCTTACACAGGCTTAGGATGAATACCTCTCAAATTGACACAGTGAACATCTTAGAGCAGAAAGGCCATGTCCTTTTTTAACCAGGGATGTAAAACTGCTGAGTTATTTAGTTAAGCTTCTAGACTCCCCAAGTTGACACAATATATCAATCATACCAGTACATTAAATTGATAATGTTCAATCAGTACGTTAAAGTAAGGCTTACAATGATCAGACAATGATACACAAGGCAATTCCCTCAAAAGAACTGAGAGTTCCTAATGCATATTCCCCTAAAAACAGTGCATTTACCTATATGAGGCAAAAACATGAATGTGAAAGTAAAAACCATTTATTTAAAGCTATGCTTGAGGACTTCAAAACAACTCTATCAGCAACTGACAGCTGAAGAAAGCTGAAAAATCTCCATAGTCACAAATGACAGCAATGTCAATCTCCAAGGAATTTGTAGGATACTGAATAATGTTTTAGCATATCACTGCATGGTACACAGTCTTCTCAAAACCAGAAGATATATTCACCCTCATAGACCATTTTCAGAAAACAATAAAGAACATTGTGTCTTCAAAGGAACTGAAATCAATCCAAGCAAACTCTTATTGGAATAAAATTAGAAATGAATTGCAGAGACATGTTTAGAATATTTGTAAGAATTTGAGATGAAATTCCACTTTTAAATGACACATTTCAAGTATAAAGCTTGATTAAATAGAAAGGATTTCATAACTTATGAAATTGAAGGTATAACATAATTGTTTTAAAGACTCAGAAATGAATGTGTCAAAAGAAATTAAAAACAATAAATGTACATATTGGAAAAGAACAAAGATATCAACTTTAGAAAATTAGAGAAAAAAGTGGCAACATAAAATATGAAAATTACATCACAAATAACAGAACATTTTATTGCTCAATATTCATGCAGATTATAAGTGACAATGTAGAATGAATTTTTTAAAGTATAAAAGGCATTTTGAAAAATTAACCCAGTTCATTGAAATAAAACTTTGAACAAAAATTCTAAAACTATATGAATTGATACAGAGAAAATACAAAAAAGAACAAAAAATAGAAAGAGATTAAGATGGAACCCACAAAAAGGTCTTCACTCTATTATAATATCAAAGTATATGATAGAAACATTATAGTTTCAAAAAGAAATTAATAGAATTAATAAGATACTGTACCACAGACTATCTCCACCTGAAAATACACAAATTTCCAAGTAAATATGTATCAGATATAATCAACTGAATTGAAAATTGTAAACATTACACCATATGAAACCCACAGTGACACTTTTACAAATGTTCAAACCGCATATGAAAAGAGTGTAAAAAGTACAAGATAAAAGCATAAAAATATATTACATATAAAATTATAAATAAGTTAAACAATTCTACATATTGGCAAAGTACCATACACACAGCTGTAATAAAAAAATCCTAAAACTTTATATATGAACATTTGTAGAAATTTTGAATATTTTCTCATCTGCACACCAGTATTTTTTCTTACTGTCAAAAATTCGAATTCAATATCACTTGCAGAAAAAAATGAACTGTAACGTTTTTAGGCACACGAAAGATAACAAAAAACAAAAACTCACTTAAAATAACACAAGTCCCAAGGTAGTGGAGTAGGAGAGTGAAGTAGCTGAACTATGAACCTCCTTACAATGGAGTGTTCATGAGATTGTCCAACAGAAAATGAATAATATTTCATCCATCATAATAATGATCTAGTAACCTCAGCTAGTAACTCATCCCAGTTCCAAAGGGTACAACAAGTAATATTTTGCTTTACGAGATTATCGAGGGACAAATGTAGTGGAGGTAATCACAGTTGATTTTCTCAGTTACACTTGATTCTATGGATCTTTACACATATTTATGATAAATGCAAAACAAATAATTGCATCTAAATATTTCTTTGCTTCTTCAGGTATAATCAGTTCTACAGTCAGTTTTAAACTAAGACAATCACAATCTTATGGTGAAATCTTAAAAAGCAATTCTTAAGTCCTTGAGGTAACTTGTATATTCAACGAGAAACTTCCTTCAAAGGAAGCCAAAGAGAAGCTGGTTAAGTAAGAAGCCCGCTTCACCACCATTCACAAAAGGAGCCACACTCAGCAGGTTAAATATATTCCCAAGGTGACACAAACTTACTGGTGCCTGTGCAGCACAGGGTAGCTCTATCACAGCAGGTGAAAAAGGGAAATAAGAAAAGTCAGGACATTTCAATCTGGGGCTTCTTCACATCATTGCCCTCATCACAGGGGGAAAATGATCTCTTGTCCACAGTCTCAATACTGAGCAGAGCCATTCACCACAATCAGGTGAAGTTTGACCTTTGAGTTTTCCCAGTTTTGCTTTTCAGCTCAAACGCGTATTGTTTGCTGAACACTAACCAATTCTACAATAAAAAAGGGTGTGAAGAAAAACAACGTACCACCCAAAATGACAAAAATGTTGACAAATTCAGAGCACAGTTCTAGTGCACTGCTTCAAAGGAAGATCGCTGTCCAAGGCATGTAATGTTTTTCATTATAAGTCATCATTCTGAAGTTCTGAAAATGAGGCACACTGAGTCACACCATTAAAAGAATTGAATGTATTGCCTCAAAGTGGCTTATGATAAAAAGAGAAGGGCATTCCTACAGTGTAGAAAATCATGGCAGTCTTAGATTCTCTCCTTAAGAATCTAGGGAACGTATCAATTGAGAAATGTAGTGCACACAGGACTGAGCTCAAATTCACAGATACTTATTTAGGGTAAGAAGTTTCCAAGAAATCTTTGAGAATGAACCTCCACATTCTCAATGAAGAACATTTTCAACAAGCTTGACATTAAAACGAATAAATGATGATATTTAATTTAACCAAGCATTCTGATCCTGTTATAAAGTTACAATTGGTGATCCACACCTGTGATAAGGCCACCCTGGGAGGCTGAGGCAAGAGGGTAAGAGTAGCAAACTCAGCCTGAGATCCACGGAAGACCTATTATTTTGAAATAATAAAATCAAACATGTAAAAGGTCGGATGTCACTCAGAGTGAAAGTCCCAGGTTCAATCTCCAGTAATTCAAAGAAACATGCTGCAATCATTTCTATCCTTGAGTATACCCTTCCCAATACATTTAGATTCTGTTCTTCATGCTATTTTTAAAGGTAAAACAAAGAGAAAAAATTCCAATTCTGCCTGAAAAAATGATTAGATGAATTTAGGAATAACAGAAGAGATGTACTTCCTAAATTTCTGTCTTTTAAGTTTATAATCTTGACTTATTTCCAAACTGAGCCAGGACCTAACAGCTTTTTCCATCACACTAAGAATATCCTCAGGGGAAATATCCAAGGATATTTGCAAATTCAGACTTTAACTTGAGATAGTGTCAGAAGTCAATGGAATTATAAGGGACATAGCTTCTGTCTCCAGAGTTAAAGCCCTTGTTGAAAGCACAGACAGAAACTACAGTACACATTTGCTGGGAAAGTGTTGTGGATAAAATCAGTGCTATTCATCTCTTCTTGTGTGTGACAATTTACACTGTCCATGCTTCATCCCACATTAGTCCCAAATCTGGAAAGCAAACGAATTCAGGCTGAGCACAGCACCACTCTACAACTTTTATGAGTCTCCAGAAACACCCATGTTCCTCAGCGTGTGTTCTTCAAGCAGTTAGGACAAACTTTATATAACCACACATCTGGCCATGAAGCTATAGTTAACCACATTGTTGCAGACAACTGGTCAATTTTTCACAGAATGTATGTAAGCTGATGGAGACTTTATTATATACCAATGACACTCATAGGTAATAGAGTTCAGTGACTTCATAAAGATGACCTGCAAGATTATGTAGTGGCTCATATGGCACCATACCCATGATTGGTGTTTTATGTGCTATCTACTCAGCCCTGTGTCTTTTCATTGAAAACTTCCATCCTATCCCCTTGTCATGGTGATTAATCCAAATAGTGTCACCTGAGTGGTGCAGCTCTTCACAATAAAAAAATCAAAACAAAACAAAGAAAAAAATGGGAGAGTATTTCTCACGTTTTGAAACATATACTGTTCTCATAATTTGGTTGCTCAGGAAAATCTGAATAAAGCATGGGCAACTTAGTAAGATGGGCTCTCAAAAAAAAAAAAAAAACTTGGGAGGATGTAGCTTGGGGGAAAATACATGAGTTCCATCCCAGTACAATGAAAAAGACAAAACACATCATGAACTCTTTCTATCCAAGAGAAAACCCTTCCCATTCTACATCTGTGATGATTTTCACCATATTTTTAGACCTACAACAACACCTGTTTCCTAATCTCAAATTCTGCCTCAAAAATTGTTATAGGCAGCTGAGTTAGATAGAAATATTATAGGAAGTCAGACAGGACCAGGCCCTGGAAGGAGCCAGTATGGAAGACAAGATACCTTGCAAATGGAGATGTATTTGCTGGGGCCAGACCTCAAGACAAAAGACTGAACAAATGCACCCACATACCTCCCTAGAGATGGACATCTGGGATTGATATTCTAAATAGGTAGCAACTACCTTGAAAAAGCCAGGAAGAGTCACTAGTCCAAACCCCTACAGGAAATGCCCCTGTTCTGTATTCATGCCGCTTGCTACGTGACTCGCTTCCCCATATGATCCCAGTTACTCAATTTTACCTGAACAATTATACTCGTAATCTTATTGGCTGACCATAGTTTTGTCCCACCTCATGCCCACCTTGTAATTTCCCATTTTCCCCCATTTTGGATCCACCTCCTGGTTTTGCTCTA